AGCACTCTTTCACTTGGAGAGAGGAGAGGGGAACTCATGCCTGCTTAGAAGCTTGGTGGAGACCATGAGCTAGGGAGAGGAGCTCTAGAGACTAGTGGTAGTGAGGCTGACCCTAGGGAGGTAATCCGCCATAGCCCCCTGGGTGTGAGGAAGAGAGAGAGGTTAGAGGGAGTCTCATTAGCCCTCCTAGAGGGGAGGACTCCACAACTATGGTGATTGGAGCTTGTGGTAACTTGGGAGAGAGTGAGAAGGGGGGGAGAGAGGCTTGAAGAAGAAGGAGGTCATAGCCAAGAAAGTGTTTTGTGCAAGGAGGAAGAAGCCTCATCAAGATTGAGACTCCATCTCCAAGATATTCACAAGGTGAGTGGAAGGAAAATGATGCTTCTTCTTCTTCTTCTTCCTTTTTTTCTTCTTCCTCCTTTTTTTGTTCTTCTTCTTCTTCTTCTTCTTCTTCTTCTTCTTCTTCTTCTTCTTCTTCTTCTTCTACATCTTCTTTCTCTTCTCCTTCTTCTTCTCCTCCTCCTCTTCTTCTTCTTCTTCTTTTTCCTCTTCCTCTTCCTCTTTTTCTTCTTCATCCTCTTCTTCCTATTAGGCTACTCAAACTCTTGTTTTTCACTCATATGCTAGTAGGTAGTGCTCCGATTCTTCTATGGATGATCTCATGCTCATTACTTGTGATTTGGACTAGTCTAGATCTTGCTTTTCACTCACATGCTAGTAGAAGATGATCTGATTCTTCCATGAATGATCTCTTGCTCAAATCTTGTGATAAAGCCTACTGTACCTCTTGCATTTCACTCACACACTAGTAGGAGATGTTCCAATTCTTTCATGGATGATCTCATGCTCATTACTTGTGATTTGGATTAGTGTAGATCTTGTTTTTCACTCATATACTAGTAGGAGATGCTCAGCTTCTTCTATGAATGATCTCATGCTCATTACTTGTGATTTGGACTAGTGTAGATCTTGCTTTTCACTCACATGCTAGTAGGAGATGATCCAATTATTCCATGGATGATTTCTTGCTCAAATCTTGTGATATAGCCTAGTGTAACTCTTGCATTTCACTCACACACTCGTAGGAGATGTTTCGATTCTTCTATGAATGATCTCATGCTTATTACTTGTGATTTGGATTAGTGTAGATCTTGCTTTTCACTCACATTCTAGTAGATGATGATCCGATTCTTCCATGGATGATCTCTTGCTCAAATTTTGTGATATAGCCTAGTTTAACTCTTGCATTTCACTCACACACTAGTAGGAGATGTTCCGGTTCTTCTATGGATGATCTCATGTTCAACTTTTGTGATTTGGGCTACTTCAACTCTTGCATCTCACTCACATGCTAGTAGGAGATCCTCGGATTTTTTCATGGATGATCTCATAGTCATTACTTGTTATTTGGCCTAGTGTAACTCTTGCATTTCACTCACACACTAGTAGGAGATGGTTCGATTCTTTCATGAATGATCTCATGCTCATTACTTGTGATTTGGACTAGTGTAGACCTTGCTTTTCACTCACATGCTAGTAGGAGATGCTTCGATTCTTTCATGGATGATCTCATGCTCATTACTTGTGATTTGGACTAGTGTAGATCTTGCTTTTCACTCACATGTGAGTAGGAGATGCTTTGATTCTTTCATGGATAATCTCATGCTCATTACTTGTGATTTGGACTAGTGTCGATCTTGCTTTTCACTCACGTGCCAGTAGGAGATGCTCCAATTCTTTCATGGCTGATCTCATGCTCATTACTTGTGATTTGGACTAGTGTAGATCTTGCTTTTGACTCACATACTAGTAGGAGATCCTTCGATTCTTCCATGGATGATCTCTTGCTCAAATCTTGTGATATAGCCTAGTGTAACTCTTGTCTTTCACTCACATGCTAGTAGGAGATGCTCCGATGCTTTCATGGATGATCTCATGCTCATTACTTGTGATTTGGACTAGTGTAGATCTTGCTTCTCAATCACATGGTAGTAGGAGATGCTTCGATTCTTTCATAGATGATCTCATGCTCATTACTTGTGATTTGGACTAGTGTAAATCTTGCTTTTCACTCATTTGCTAGTAGGAGATGCTCCGATTCTTCTATGAATGATCTCATGCTCACTACTTGTGATTTTGGTTATTTCAACTCTTGCTTTCCATTCCCATGCTAATAGGTGATGCTCCGGTTCCTCAAGGGATGATCTCATGCTCAATACTTGTGATTTGGCCTAATGTAAGTCTTGATTTTCACCCATGTGTTAGTAGGGAATACCCCGAATTTTCCATAAGTGATTTCGTGCCCAAGACTTGTGTTTCGGGACTAGTCTAGCTTGTGCCCTCTACTCGCATGATAGACGATGACATTCCGTTTCAAACTTGGCTGCACGCATGAGCCATGGACATGCGTTTGAGCAAGTCTCACTCACATACATGGCTCAACTCTCACATGATGGCAGTCTATTTCAAACTTGGTTGCATACATGAGTCATGAGCATGTGTTTGAGCAAGTCTCACTCACGTATATGACTCAACTCTCACATGATGATGTTCCGATTCATACTTAGTTGATTTTTCCTCCATGTGCATGTATCCCTCACTAGTTCAAATCTTCTAATTGTCAAGTTCATGTATGTTTTAATGTTTCGGTTCATACTTATTTGATCTTTCCTCCATGTGCATGTGTCCTTCACTAGGTTCAAGTTTCCCATTGTCAAGTTCATGTATGTTGTGATGTTCCGGTTCATACTTAGTTGATCTTTCCTCCATGTGCATGTGTCCATTACTAGTTCAAGCTTCTCATTGTCAAGTTCATGTATGTTGTGATGTTCCGGTTCATACTTATTTGATCTCTCCTCTATGCGCATGTGTCCTTACTAGTTCAAGTATCTCATTGTCAAGTTCATGTATGTTGTGATGATTCTGGTTCATACTTAGTTAATTTTTCCTCCATGCGCGTGTGTCTTTCACTAGTTCAATCTTCTCATTTGTCAAGTTCATGTATGTTGTGTTGTTTTGGTTCATACTTAGTTAATTTTTCCTCCATGTGCATGTGTCCTTCTCTAGTTCAAGCTTCTCATTGTCAAGTTCATGTATGTTGTGATGTTCCGGTTCATACTTAGTTGATCTTTCCTCCATGTGCATGTGTCCTTCACTAGTTCAATCTTCTTATTTGTCAAGTTCATATATGTTGTGATGATTCCGGTTCATACTTAGTTGATCTTTCCTTCATGTGCATGTGTCCTTCACTAGTTCAATATTCTCATTTGTCAAGTTCATGTATGTTGTGATGTTCCGGTTCATACTTAGTTGATTTTTCTCTCATGTGCATGTGTCCTTCACTAGTTTAAGTTTCTCATTATCAAGTTCAAGTATGTTGTGATGTTCCGGTTCATGCTTAGTTGATCTCTCCTCCATGTGTATGTGCCTTTTCACTAGTCCGATCTTCTCATTGGCAAGTTCATGTATGTTGTGATGTTCCGGTTCATACTTTGTTGATCCTTCCCCCTATGTGCATGTGCGTCTCACTAGTTCAATCTTCTCATTGTCAAGTTAATGTGTGTTGTGATGTTCCGATTCATACTTTGTTGATCTTTCCTCCGTGTGCATGTGCCTTTCACTAGTCCGGTCTTCTCATTGTCAAGTTCGTATGTATTGTAGTGATCCGGTTCATACTTAGTTAATCTCTCCTCTATTTGTATGTGCTTTCGTTAATTCAATCTTCTCCTTGAAAAGTTCATGCGTGTTATAATGTTCCGGTCCATACTTAGTTGGCCTTTCCTCCATGTGCATGTGCCTTTCACTAGTTCAATCTTCCCATTGTCAAGGGCATGTGTGTTGTAGTGTTCCGGTTCACACCTAGTTGATCTCTCCTCTATGTGTGTGTGCTCTTCACTAATTCAATCTTCATATTGTTGAGTTCATGTGTGTTGTAGTGTTCAAGACGTACTTAGTTGCTCCTTCCTACACGTGCATGTGTTTTTCAATCTCTCATTGTCAAATTCATGTGTATTGTAGTATTCCGGTTCATACTTATTTGATCTTTTAATATGGGATGGGTGACCGACATTTGGCTGCTACTACTATGGGATGGATGACCGACATTTACCTACTACCACGGGGAGATGATTTGATTATGAATAAAAGTCTCTTCTCTCTCTCTCTCTCTCTCTCTCTCTCTCTCTCTCTCTCTCTCTCTCTCTCTCTCTCTCTCTCTCTCT